GATATCCTGAGCTGATATGGGCAGATCTTCCACATGTGAGAAGTAGAAAATGTTGGATTCCTGTGCAGTCTTGTCTGACTCAGTCACAGGAAGTCTGGACATGGCATCCGCATTAAAGTGGTCCGCCGACTTGTACTCTAGCTCATAACTGTAAGCCATCAGGATCAAGCCCCAACGCTGCATGCGCAAGGCTGCCAACATAGGCACCGCTGACTTTGGTCCCAGTATAGCCAGTAAGGGCTTGTGATCCGTGAAGAGAGTAAATTTGCGTCCACATAGGTACTTGTGGAATTTTCTCCATTTACTCCATAGATGATTGCTAGCGCTTCTTTTTCTATTTGTACATACTTTTTCTCTGCATCCGTCAGAGTGGGCGAGGCGAACGCAATCGGTCTCTCTACACCATTGTCCATCACATGCGAAATGACTGCAACTACCCCGTAGGGCGATGCGTCACATACTAATCTCAACGGCTTCTTTGTGTCATAATGAACCAGGACAGTGCTGCTCAGTAAAATTTATTTTCCTTTCTTGAAGGCTTCCTCACATGCCGGTGTCCAGCTCCACTTTTCCTCCCTTTTTAGCAGAGCATGCAATGGCTGTAACACACTGGACAAGCTCTTCAGAAAACGGCCATAATAGTTCAATAGTCCCAAATAAGACCGCAACTCTGAGACATTTGTAGGCTTTGGAGCATTCACGGTTGCCTCCACTTTTTGCTGTGTGGGGTGTAGGCCTTCGTGGTCTATCTGATGCCCCAAATACTCCACACTCCTCCTCTGCAAAAATCTGCATTTGGCCAACTTTGCTCTCAAGCCATAACGCGCCAGACAGCCCAACACAGCTTCCAGTCTTTCCAAGTGCAGGCCTTTTGTGTTGGCTGTGATTAAGATGTCATCCAAAAAACAAGTCACTCCTTCTTGGCCTTGCAGAACTTGATCCATCACTGATTGAAAAAGTGATGGTGCGCTGGCAACCCCATAGCTAAGGCGATGGTAGCGGTACAGTCCTCTGTGGGTATTTATGGTTAAATACCATTCAGAATCTTTATCTAATCTTAATTGCTGGTAAGCATGGGCGAGATCTAACTTTGAGAACCATTTCCCGGGCGAGATCTAACTTTGAGAACCATTTCCCCCCCAGCTAGGTTGCAAATAAATCCTCAGCGTTGTATGTCTCTACTTCCAATTGGCTATTTATCGTGACCTTGTAGTCCCCACAGATGCGGATGGATTTATTAGCCTTTGGTACCACAACAAACCCCCATTGACTTTGATCAACTTTGGAAATAATTCCCTCTTTTCCAACCTATCCAGTTCTTTTTCTACAGCCTCTCACAGTAAATATGGCACAGGGGGGGCTTTGCAAAAAACTGGCTGGGCTCCAGGCTGCATTCTTATGGGTTAGGGTTCCCTGGGTACCTGTGAGTGGCGCTGAAGCAGTGCTTGCAATTCCAGGTCGCCATGCTTAGTTTCAGTTCCCAGCGTGAAGATGTTTTTTCCAATCCTGCTTCAGCTTCTCTAACCAATTTCGGCCAAAGAGAGCAGGCCTATTTCCTTTCACTATGATGAGAGGCAATGTCTCTTTCTGATCACCATACTGCACTGGGACCTGAACATAGCCAAGAAGGGGAATTGTTTCTCCTGAGTACGCTTTTAATCTGATGTTGGACTTTTCAATGGGTAAATATGGGAATTTCTTCCGGTGCAAAACTTCTGATGCGATAGACACTGCCGCACCTGTATCCATCTGCATGCTAATGTCCTCATCACCCACTTTTACTTTAATGCCTCCATCCCCACTGGATGCCATGTAGACTGTAAAGACTCCGAATTGGTCATCTTCTCCAACTACACTCGGATCCTCAGTGTCCACATACTGAGCCCTGGTGGTCTGTCTCTTATTCCGACATGCTCTGGAAATATGCCCTGTCATTTTTGAATCGGCACTCCTGGGGTGAGTGTCTTCCTCCCCCACAACGGTAGCATCTCTGCTCACTGTCCGGCTTCTGATCAAATTTTTGGGTTGGGCTCTCATTTCCACTTCTAAACTGCCACTTTCCGTTGCTTACAAACTTTGATTTGGATCCTTCATTTACAGCTGCATTCTGTGATTTTCCTAAGATTTCCAGAGAATTCTTGGATGCCATTTACATTGCCAATGCTATCTCACATGCTCGTGCAAATGTTAGGTCTTTCTCTGCTAGCAATTTTCTTTGAATTGACTCGGAGGCCAATCCACTCAAAAGACAATCTCTTAAAGCTTTATCCAAATGAGCTCCATACTCACAATCCTTCAACGACTGCCGTATCGCCACTAAGTATCAGTTACTGATTCTCCTTCCTTTTGATCACGTTTCTGAAAATGGAACCTCTCCGCAATGACCAAGGGCTTCGCCTGATAATGTGACTTTAATGCGTCAGTCAACACTCCATACGTCAATCCCGAGGGCTGGTTCGGCATTACCAAGTTTTTCAGCAGTCCATAGGTTTCTGGCCCAATGCAAGGTAAAAATACACTGACCTTCTTTTCCTCAGTAATATCGTTTGCTTGTAGCCAGATTTCAAATCTCTCCAGGTAGGTTACAAAGTCCTCCCGCGACTCCTTAAACTCGTCCACTCGTCCGATTAGCGCCATTTCCTTTGTCTTGCCGTTCGGGAAAATCCTCGCGTTTCCTTCACATTTCCCCGCGTTGAATCCTCCCACTGCAGACCGGTCATCCTCGTCACCAATTGGATATATCGGTGGGTTGTAATAAGCACCGAAAACGATGGCGGGTATCCCGGAACTTATTTATTCAGGACTGCCAGAATGCATCAGCCTGCTTGCAACTCTCCCGCTCCGGAACTCAACAACTTACGCTTACATAGTCATGTGACTCTTAGAACAAATCACAACGCAGATAACCCTCTACATGAAAAACCCAGTCTATTACAAAGTCGAAATTATGAGATAAAACGTTGTCAAAACACAAATGACCTCTCTGTAACTGTACTGGACCGTAGATGACAACCAGCTACAACCGTATTTTAACAGGGTGGAAGAGACAGTCAGTGTCACCAACACGTCTAACATAATAAACTTATTGCAGGGGTCTGAAGTCTCACGCAATGACCGTGGGACACACACATTTCAACTATAGTTCACATGCCACATTGTGAGAAGATGGCGTTAAACCGTCTCAGCCACCGTACGCTCATTACGAAGCAACATAGACGCACGAACAGAGGTGACAGGTGGAGGCTTTTGATACAACTGCTCAGTGCAAGTGAAGGATGCAGCACATGGCAGGTGTAGGAAAACCCGCAGGACAGACACAAGAGAGAAAAACTGGTCATGAAACCAAAAAATAAAGAGGAGACAAAGAGAAAGAAAAGTCCACTTATAAGAATAATGTATTGCACCGATTGTAGGACGGTTAAGGGGTCTCTTTTGTAGTTGGGACACGCAATTTCACAGTGGAAACAATAAAGGACCATCAAGTTTCCGTTGGCCATGTCAAAAGCATTGTTACTAAACGGACAAAGACAACAAATTGTCTTTATTTTGCATGGAAACTGTTGATTTAGTATATAGTAAGTATATAAATACGTATAAGTATACAAACAAGGGTAATTTTTGTCATTTGAGAGGTCTAATAGAAGAATTTTGCGAGTGCTTGAACAAAAGTGTCTCCCCTACATCTCTGTTGGTACAGTAATAAAGGATACTGTATTTGTATGTTTTTTTGGATGCAAAAGTGGGTTAGGGTTAGTCAATGAAGCTTCCAACAAAATAGCCATTTGCTTTCAGCTGGTCAAAAAGGGTCCATCCAAAACTTGGCGCATTCACTTCTCAGCATGCACCACCAACACTCTATGCTTTGATTGCCAGTACTTGCAACTAAAGTCAAAACACTCAAAGTTTCCTCACGTGATTGGCACGCCATAGAGGAAACTTTTGCATTACTGTAAGGTGGGTATTCTCAGTACCGTGATCTAACCTGACTTTTTGCAGACATCCATTGTTTAGTATCACAGCAATAATACAAGGGTCATTGTTGGTCTATGCAACCACTGATACTGATACCCATCAATATGCCATACCTGGTTTGGCCCACGGCTGACATAAATACGGTGTCTTAAACGGTTACGGGCACGCAGATCTACCTCATTGCCCACCATCTGTCACATCAATTGGCGCTCAATTTCTCTGTAATTATCCCGGCCAGCCAACATTCCCAGTGCATCCATCTGTAGCCATGTTGCTTGCCCAACGTTTGTGGCTGTTGTTGAATGAAGGACGCAACCTCTGCTTCATCGGTCTTGTTTCGTCTGTGCTAAAGATGTTTTTGTAGCTTTCTTTCTTTGGTCCGAGGCTTAGTTTGATACCATATAATTCCAACAAAACGGGTTAGGGTTAAAATTTGTGAATCCACGTCTAAAATAGTTTTAATTGGAGGTGTCCATCTTGATCTGCTGAGCTTTATCTCACGATCAACGAGTGAAGTTTTTGTAAACTCTTTACTTCATCTGATTCACTGGATATATGTGAGCAAGGAAGCTGTGATGAAGCTGTGATGCAGCTCTGATACGCCCCGCCCTCATTCAGGCTAAACTATATGAGATACTCATAATTATGATTTAGCTAAATCAAAATGAGGAGATAGCAAAGTCAGAATTATGAGATACTATAAAATTATTATGACTTACAGGATCTTTTTTCCAGTGGCGTAAATGTGCTTCAATAGTTTTCCACATTATTATTCTATTCAGTCAATGTTTATTATGTTTAACTTTTGAACAAACATCAACATCAACTGGCATATTACAGCTTGTATTACCTTTATTTCACATGATATCATACACATACATGCACATATACATATCTGTATGTACATGTGTATATGCATGACAATCATGATCCTTTGTTTCTGTTTCCATCTCTATATGTGTATGAGATATTTTCTTTTTCATGATTATACTGACCGAACAACGGCCCTGTTTCCTGCGGTCACTCACCGACACCACCACCGTCTCCTCGCCGTTAAATTTGGGGATGTATTTGTCTCCTCGGCTCCGTTCCGCGTCGTTCAGCGGTCTGAAGCGACACATCACCTTCACCCCACACACCCCGCACCCCGCCGCGTCCTCCATCACTCCGGTAAACACGAGCCACGGGGCGCACCGAACGCTTCTTTCGCTCCTCACGGTTCTAATACACCGGACCGGAGAAACTCGACTACCGGAGACAAGGCCAACAGAGCCCCTCGGTTAGAGAATCAGATGACCGGTTATTTCTTCCCGTTAGATCACCGTCGCTCCTTTACGGTGCCGACCGACTGAACACTCCCTCCTCCTACCCTGGACCACCGAGCCGCAGGGCATTCTGGGAGATGGTGTCCTCCCTGTTTATACAGGGATCAACTGATGGATTAATTTCAGTTTATGAAATATAAATATATATAAACATAAAATATAAATACATATACAAATATTATAGCAAAATAATATATTTAATGCATGTAAACATACATATAAATAAAAAATATATAGATTATAATAGTTTTATTAAATAATAAATATATATATATATTACATCACATTACATTAGATGTAATTTAGCTGACGCTTTTATCCAAAGCGACTAAGTACATTCAACCATAAGGATACAAACTCAGAAGAGGAAGAAACAAGAAAGTGCAATTTCATCAAATAAGCTAATATACAACCTGCTATAGATAAGAACCATTATAAGTCCAATGTAAGTGCTACAGTTAGTTAGTGTGTTAGTGGAGGTAGAGTCTGAAGAGGTGTGTCTTTAGTCTGAAGATGTGAAGGCTCTCTGTGGTCCTGATGTCATTAGAGAGCTCAGGACAGCAAAGAGTCGCGATCTTGTTGAGTGTTTTGCTCTCAGTGAGGAGGAACAAGCAGCGCACTCCGCTCGGCATCTGTAGGACTTGACCAGGTCCTGGATGTAGACTGGACCCGATCCATTCACAGCATGGTACGTGAGTACCAATGTTTTGAATTGGATGCTGGCAGCCACCGGTAGCCAGTATACATACAAACATATATATATATATATATATACACATATATATACATATACATATATACATATATATATATATATATATATATATATATATATATATATATACACATATATACACATATATATATATATATATATGCCTTTTACAAGGCATATACAACTGTTTTTTAACTGCGTTAATAGTTGATATGCTTATAGTTAGGGCTGGCTCAGGTTAGCTTGGACTAGCCCTAAGCTGCTATAGGCCTAGACTTCTGGTGGACTTCTTAGGACACACAATATTTGTACGTAGTATTTCTAATACTATTCAGATGCTAATCAAAGTTACATAACAATTACTCAAAAAGGCTAACTAAACTGTAGTTAAAAGACCCATCGTGTGCCCATTTTACATGTTGATGGTTCCTTTTATTCCTTTATTTTTAAACTAACCCATAGCATTATATTTTATTTTATTCCTCTTGCACTATGTTGTCTTGTCGTTCATTGTCGTACTGTCTGCTGTTATGCACCAACCACCAAGTCAAATTCCTTGAATGTCTGACATATTATGGCAATATTATGTTTGTATGTATGTTTGATTTTTGTGCTTTCTAGCCTCGCAGGTATCCGTGATTCCGTCTGGACCCTGGTACTGACTCATGCCTAGCCCGAACATAGCCCACATCGAACACCATTATAATTCTCATTACTATAAACATTAATGCGCATCACTTTGTTTCTTCCACAGAGTATTTGTGTTTTCTACCCCACAGGTTTCCATGGATAATGGTTATATCTGGACCCTGTTCCTGCCTCTTGCTGTGGCCCTGCAGACAACATCCAATGCTATAATTTTTTTATTTCTTTTAAAATATTAATGATATTACTATTACTGTCATCATAAACCAGCATTACCCTTTCCTAAAGTGGGTTAGTGTTGGTGATTTCCCTCCCCGCAGGCTTCTGTGGATGGTGGTTGTCCCTGCAGCGGTCCTGCCGTACACCTGCTTACAATATTTGAATCATTTCTGTCATATGAATTGAACATATTGTTTATTCTGTACACATGACATCCATTGTAGTGTGCCCATCCCGGGAGAGAGATCCCCGAATTGTTTTATTTTTATATACAAATAAAAATGGGGTCCTCGTGGCGCAGGGGTTAGAGAAGGTGTGCTGGGAAGCACAAGGTTGGTGGTTCGAGTCCAGGCTGCCCCATGTTCCATCTCGAAAATGAAAACTCCTAGTTCTAGTGTCATCTACACATGCATGTATACACATACATATGATACATGGGGTTGTCGTGGTGCAGGGGGTAGAGCGGGTGTGCTGGGAACCGCAAGGTTGTTGGTTTGAGTCCCAGCTGCCCCATGTCTCAAGCTGAAGTGTCCCTGAGCAAGACACCTAATCCCTAATTGCTCCCCAGGCAAAAATGTGAAAAAGCTATGGGATTAAAGTGTAATGTAAGTCGCTTTGGATAAAAGCGTCTGCTAAATGACCTGTAATGTCATGCAAAACAAATCAAAAAGTTGTTAGTCTGTTAAATATATTTTTATTTCTCAGCATTTCATGAGAAATACAAACTTCTTTTCTTCATGATTCTGACTGCAGAATGACATTTAGAAATATAAAAGACTTCCATTTTACAGGTGCATATTTCTTATTTTAATTGGCTCAAATGATCGGAAGAGATCCTTTAACAAAAAATGTATACAGGAGAAGATCCTGACTGCGCAAACATCTTTAAATCAACTTTTTCATCTTTGAGAAAAAACAAAATACTTGAATTTTAAAGAAATACTAAATGTAAACATCAATAAATAACCAAACAGGAAGCTATCAGAGCCAAGATACAAGGTCGACTGAATCAGTTGTTTCTTTAGCCACATGATAATCGGCTTTAAAAAATAAACTTATGAAATGAACAAAAAATATTTTACATCAAAGACATTTACAAATGGCATAATAACAATAATTATAATATTATCCACACCTAATAAAATGTTCTGATTCTAACACCACCTCTTCTTCTGGAGGTCAGGAAATGTCACATTCACGGGTCACTGAGGAAGAGGAGGAGCAAGGGGTGATGGGTAATGGCGGGAGGAGCAGGTGGTGCTATGTGACCTCCATGGGCAGCGTGGTCTCTCCGACTCATTAGGGTCTCTGCAAGAAAAAATATAGGTCAACCATCAGCAGTGTTTCTTGTACTGTTAGAACGAGGGGGCAGGGGGACGGGACGGACTGCTGTGTAGGGGCCCTTAAAATGATCTCCCCCACCCAAAAAAGTCTGGCATGAAAAAAAAAAGTCATTTTTCCCCCAACACACGGCAGTTCCACCCAAATCCTCACCGCCCCTAAGTTGTAAACCTAGTGTAAACACTGAGTGATGACATGACTTGAAAATTCTATAGTCAAGAAACCAAATGATTCCACGTCGGTAATGATAGGACCAGATCTCTAGATCAATCAGATCAACCTGATCAGATTTTTAGCATGTGAAGCTGGAGAAACATGTCTCAGCCTCCCGGACCATCAGCACCGGTTCCCCCCAAGGCTGCGTTCTTTCCCCTCTGCACTTCTCCCTGTACACCAACAGCTGCTCCTCCAGCCACAGCAGAGGTTGTTCTTCCTGAGGCAGCTGAAGAAATTCAACCTGCCAAAGACGATGATGGTCCACTTCTACACGGCCATCATGGAGTCCATCCGCTGCTCCTCCATCACCGTCTGGTACGCTGCAGCCACAGCCAAGGACAAGGGCAGGCTGCAGCGTGTCATCCGCTCAGCAGAGAGGGTGATCGGCTGCAATCTGCCGTCCCTGCAGGACTTGTTCGCTTCCAGGTCTCTGAAGCAGCTAAAAAGATGGTAGCCGACCCCTCTCACCCCGGACATAAACTGTTTGTGTAACGTGTTTTGGTGAGGGCAGGCCAATTCATTTGTAAATTAAGTGTCTTGCTAGATTAACCACACCCCTTGCAAAAATCATTAGCCCATATCTCCTCAAACCAATAAGGTATCAACACAATTTTTCGTGACAATCGGACCCAGTGTTGAGGAGAAATGGGAAAAATGTGTTTTTCACAAAATTCAAAATGGCGGAAAATCTAGTTAAGCGCATTTGCATACAATGATTGACGTTTTTGTAGAGCATATCCAAGAGCATCTGTGTGCACGATTTCAAGTCAATCTGTGAAACTGGGAAAAATTTCCCCAGAGGGAGCACTTCCAGGGGGCGGTAGAGAGCCATTTCTTCATCCCGAAATGCGTCAAAATATCGAAATTCTTCGCACTTCTGATGCGCATGCCAAAATTCAAGAGTTTTTGAATACGATAAAGGCCTCAAAAGTGCAATTGAAGTGGTGAAATAATCACAATTCTTCGAAGCACAACTTCGCCTCAGGCCCTAATAATTCTATGAAATGAAATAGGTTTCCCTATGACTAGCCGTAGCGAGGACCCTAACAACAAATCACGGGAGTTGTTTGTGTGTGGACGGTAATCATGGAAAGTTTCATTTGGTAAAGCTGAACTACTACAGAGAGGTCTTAGTACAGGCCTCACGGCAGAGAAACTAGGAGTGAAAATCTGGAGTCAGTCCTGCTGTGTTTGGCCAAATTGTCTGATCCTATTGGATCCAACGAGTCCGACTTTTTACACTCAAAATAGCAGCAGATTAAATTCATATTTTCAATCCAAATGGCAAACGTAAGGGGCATTTCTGATTGATATAATTCTGGTGCTTGGTGTTTTTTTCCAATTACTCCTGCACGGTCTGTGTGAGAGAAATGTATTCAGGGGTCAAATGCAATAGCGGTTGGACGAGTTCGTTGTTGGGTTCTAGCTTTGATTGATAGGGCTATATATGCATCGCCGGGGGCAATATTTATGGACACATTTAAACATGATATTTTCTAACTATTATGGCTTGTATGTTTGTTTGGAGCATTTTCAAAAGGGATAAGACTCCAATGTTTCAAACGGTGTGACACATCATTATATTTGTCTGTGATGACTACATAATTGTTGGGTTGGAACTTGGTTCTGGCTCGGTTCTGTACCAAAATGGGAGATGCTCTTTCCGAACCTTGGTCATTTTGACAGGCGCTAGTTGACTTCTGGCATAACAGCTAGAGAGGTCTATAGATTTATAACTTTGCTGCAATGAAGCTACCATTAGCTGGCAAGCACAAGGAGAGCTGTGTATGCCACCGGCATGTGCACGCTACAGGTGTGTATGAGGCGCTCACCTGGCGGCGGAAACTTTTGGCACTCGGTCGAGGCTGGCAGCGAGCTTTAAGGCAGACGTTGGGGGGGCGAAGGGTCGAGCAGTGTGGGGTGGGGGAGGAAAGACAGCTCCCACCTGGTTCGGAAGTGACTGAGGGGAGGAGGACAAGTACGCAAGCCTGGAGGGACCTGAGGAGAATATTAACATGCAAGATTAAGCACTAAATAAATTAAACATGGTATACATTTAAAATAGATAGTCCTTCACTAGTGAGCAGGTCAATCTGTAACCCCTCCGCTCTCTTCGCTGGCTACCAGTAGCTGCCCGCATCAAGTTCTATACATTGGTGCTCACATACCATGCTGTGAATGGATTGGGTCCAGTCTACATCCACGACATGGTCAAACACTACATCCCGACCCAGATTCAGACTCTACTTTGACTAAAAACACTAACAAATTGTAGCACTTTAATTGTACTTATAATGGCATTTCTCTAGAACGAGTTGTAAATTCGCTTACTTGATGAAATTGCACTTTCTTGTTCCCCTATGGTTGAATGCACTTATTGTAAGTCGCTTTGGATAAAAGCGTCAGCTAAATGACATGTAATGTAATCTTTAGCCCTTTGACCCTCATCTTTGCATTGGGGGATGTGACCAGGATAATCATAGGAGTAGGGTTCTCCTTGGTTTCCCAGCAAGGCTCACACAGATCAGGTGTCTCACCTGACGAATAAAGCCCTCCGTTGGCCTTGTAGGGTTTGTTCTGTCTGTCCATGTGACAATGAGGAGGAAGAGGAGCGCTGATCACAGCCGAGGCTGCAAACTGAGCACTGGCTGAGTTCACAGTCTTAGAACTGGCCTCACTGGATGGCTGAACACAAGACAGGATGTTACTCAGACCAGGAGGCAGGCACACACACACACACACACACGAGTGTACTGTACGGTATATATACAGACACACACCTGTGTACTGTACAGTCTATATGGAGCGCAGTGGTTCTGTAGTTGCAGCTGCTCCAGCTGTTTTCTCTGCATCTGGATGAGCTGCTGCTGATGACTGTGGTACTGCTCCTCTGTGATGCCCCCTGCTGGCACAGAGAAGACCTGTTAAAACGCATAGGCATCACTATCTCCCCTGAAGCCATGATATGACAAATTAATAAGTCAAGTATTGGGTCCAATCTGGATACTTGGCTTGCAGACCTTGAACTGACACATTTACTTCTGGATATGGTCATGTTTTCAGACTAAAGAACCACTGAAGCAACACATCTCTAGAATTGGGGTTTTGTTCATTTACTAACCTACGCCACTGTGCAGACGAGCTACACTGTGGTCACATGCAGACATTAATGAGACATCTCATTGTTCCAATCTGCTAGTGGGTCCTCAAAGCTCACCTGAGTTATTGCCAAGTCCTCGAAGGTCCTCCATAGAGAGCTTGGTGGTCCTTTTGCTGCCCTCCCTCTGGCCTTGAGCTGGTCTGGGTCTGAAGCAGAACCTCCTCAGGTTCTCAGTCAGACAGGGGGCCATGGTTCCTGAAGTCTGGGGGGGGTTCTGCTCCAGTGTTACAAGGTCATTACAGGTCCTGGTTCTGTTTCTGCAGACCTGATGTGTTAAAGAGTCCAGGTCCTTCAGTAATGGATCCAGGCCTGAGGAGGCTCGGTCCAGGATGATCCTGATCAAAGAGACGGAAAAAGGGCTTCAGCTTTACTGATGCAGACCATGAGGAGTGTCAGGGCTCAGCAGAGGGGGAGCTACCTGCCCCCCCGTCCTATCCTGCGCCGGCCCAGGCCCGTCCAATGAGGAGCCAGAATCAGTTCAGCTAGAGTGTGACAAAGAAGTCCCGAGTGATCGTCTCTACCCGGCTGATCCGCCCCAGGCTGCAGAAACAAAACACATTTCATATCGATTATAACCTTTAGAGATATACATATTCATCATACTTGAACTAAGTGTTTCACTACTTAAAGTATCGATCAGGTTTCTGTCTCAGTTATCAGTCATGAAGCAAAACCAGTAGCACCAGAGGTAGTACTACAAGAAGCAGCAGTACTAGAATCAGCACTATATTAGTATTACTAAAAGCGGCAGCAATAGCACCACAAGCAGTACTAGATTAAAATAAAAAGACACTCACGGAGAGATATTGACATCCAGCTTTTCTCCTGAAGACATAAACTCCATCAGGATCATTTTCCCCATCAGGGGAAGACGGAGGAGACTAAAGAGAGATGGGATTATAATATTGTTTTACTACATTACACCGATTGAGATAATAATGGATTATTTAGCAGAGGGATTATAAAAGTATTATTAGGGCTGCAAATAATGACTAATTTGATAATTGTTTAATCGGTTGATTATTTTTTTGATTAATTGATGAATCCGATAAAAAAAAAACAGCATTAAAAAAAAGACTTACCTAACCCTCCACTCCTTGAACATAATCATTTATTTAAAAAGAAAAAATACAAATCTGAAAATTTAACAGGATTTGTTTAAACTTTTTTCTACATTACACTCATGTTAACTTCAAGCTGATTCATTAAATTACTACCATCAGTGCACGTTAAGTAAATGTATACACCACATTTAAATACAGCTAAAAAACAGCCTAAGTGCTATGAGATGAATTTAAAATGGAATTAAAAAGTACAACACACATATATTCGTCAATAACCGATATGGGACAAAGCACAAAATATATATACATGACAACAGATTGAAAAATGAATGGTCCAAACGAGGCGAGTAAATAAAAACGTGTCTTTAGTCTCGCTAACTGCTTTACTGCGGTTATTACTGCTGCGAGCGAACGCTAGCTTGATCAGCTGGATGACGAGTAAACAGCAGCAGCTGGAGGCTCCTTACATTCCTCACGTCAAAGCGGGACAACGTGGTGCTCCCATGACGTGTTACGTGGACAGACTTTTTTAGTTTAGCACACCTTGGACGACTTAACTCAAACTGCCTACGCCATGTGACTCACAACAACTGTCGGCTCGGCTCTTTATTGTCTTTCTTTTTGCTCTGCGCGCACATCCACAACTCATTGAGTGACGTCATTATCGTGCGACCTAACAAATCGATAATGAAATTCGTTGCAAACACTTCATCGATTCGTTGTTGCAGTGCTAATGATTATCAATGATTTGTTTCTCACTTTGACTGCCTTGCTAATTCTGAAGATTCATAATAAAAAAACATTTCCTCTGTGTTTTATTATTACAATATGAATAAGCAAGAAAGGAGATGTTGAAGGTTAAAAACAACCACCACTGAAATAAACAAAATGGATATGTTTTTTTTATAATCCCTGGGCAATTGGTAAATGGATTGTACTGGTATAGGGCTTTTCTAGTCTTCTGACCACTCAAAAACACATAATGTCGTCATTCACACCCTGATGACAGCAGCTACCACACACAGAGCCACCTGCCCATCAGTAACTACTATTCAGCTGTTGAAGCTCCGCTGTCCTCACTTGAACTCTGCTAGCAGTTAGCCTAGCTTAGCATGTAAAGGACACACACGTCTGGTACTGATGCGTTCAGACTCGCATCAGGTGATCATTACGTTTCAGATGAGTGAATTTCTAGTGAATCTGTTTATAATGATCATTTTTAGGATAGTTTGGTACAGTGCAACTAAAAGGCGAAAAACTAAACGCGAGCGTCAGAAAGGAGATGGGGTAAATATAATCTCTCCTCTCCTTGTTTTCTGCTTCTATCTCTGCTGCCAAAAGCTCTTTCTACCAATCCAAAATTGAATCTTCATTTTCTAACCCCAAAAAACTCTTCTCGATCTTCTCCAATCTCCTCGAACCCCCTACCCCTCCTCCCCCCTCCACCCTTCTTCCGGGAGACTTTGTCAACTACTTCACCAAGAAAATAGCTGACATACGCTCCTCCTTCTCTAACCCACCTCCTACTTCTCGCGTCCCACCGACCTCACCTCTTTCGCCCTCACTTTCCTCTTTCACCGCCCTCTCTCCTAACCAAATTCTTATCCTAGTAACCTCTGCCCGTCCGACCACCTGCCCTCTTGACCCCATTCCATCACATCATCTACAATCTATCGCACCTGACCTTCATCCGTTCCTCACCTGTCTCATCAACAACGCTCTGTCATCTGGCTGTTTTCCCAATTCTCTTAAGGAGGCAAGAGTCAACCCTCTCCTGAAGAAACCTACCCTCAACCCTTCTGAAGAAAACAACTACAGACCGGTCTCTCTTCTTCCCTTTTTGTCCAAAATCCGTGAACGTGCTATCTTTAATCAACTCTCCTCTTATCTCCACTGTAACAACCTCCTTGACCCCCACCAGTCAGGTTTCAAGGCCGTTCCACAGAGACTGCTCTCCTTGCTGTCTCAGAGCAACTCCACACTGCTAGAGCTGCCTCTCTCCCCTCTGTCCTCATCCTTCTGGACCTCTCTGCTGCATTTGACACGGTCAACCACCAGATCCTTATTTCCTCCCTTCAGGAACTTGGTGTCACAGGCTCTGCTCTCTCCCTTCTCTCGTCCTACCTCGACGGCCGCACCTACCGGGTAACCTGGCGAGGATCTGTGTCGGAACCTTGTCCTCTTACTACTGGAGTTCCTCAGGGTTCCGTGCTGGGTCCCCTCCTGTTCTCGCTTTACACCAACTCTCTTGGCGCTTTCATTCATTCACTCGCATGGCTTCTCTTACCACAGCTATGCCGATGACACCCAACTAATTCTCTCCTTCCCTCACTCGGACACCCAGGTGGCGGCTCGGATCTCTGCCTGTCTAACTGACATCTCCCAGTGGATGTCCGCCCACCATCTGAAAATCAACCCCGACAAGACTGAACTACTTCTCTTCCCGGAAAAGATTTGCTTACCCAGGACCTGACAGTCAACTTTGGAAACTCCGTACTAACGCCCACTTTGACCGCTAAGAACCTCGGCGTCACACTCGACAGCCAACTCTCCCTGACTCCCAACATCACCGCGACAACGCGATCCTGTAGATACACGCTCTACAACATCAGGAGAATACGTCCCCTTCTCACTCAGAAGGCAGCGCAGGTACTGATTCAGTCTCTTGTCATCTCTCGCCTGGACTACTGCAACTCCCTCCTGGCTGGTCTCCCTGCCACCGCCATTCCACCTCTGCAGCTCATTCGGAATGCAGCAGCTCGACTGGTCTTCAACCTTCCGAAATTCTCCCACGCTACTCCACTCCTCCGCTCTCTTCACTGGCTACCGGTGGCCGCCCGCATCCAGTTCAAAACATTGGTGCTCACGTACCATGCTGTGAATGGATCGGGTCCAGCTTACATCCAGGACCTGGTGAAAGGCTACATCCCAACCCGCACTCTCCGCTCTGCATCTGCAAAACTACTCGTCCCTCCCTCACTGAGAGCAAAACACTCGACTAGATCTCGACTCTTTGCTGTCCTTGCGCCGAAATGGTGGAACGAGCTCTCTGAAGACACCAGGACCGCAGAGAGCCTTCATATCTTCCGCCGCAAACTAAAGACACACCTCTTCAGACTCTACCTCGACTAAAGACTAACAAATTGTAGCACTTCAATTGTACTTGTAACGTCACTCATCTATAGCAAATTGTAAATTGGCTTATTTGAGGAAATTGCACTTTGTTTCTTGTTCTCCTGAGTTTGTACCCTATGGTTGAATGCACTTATTGTACGTCGCTTTGGATAAAAGCGTCCGCTAAATGACATGTAATGTAATGTAAAAGAAGGTCAAGATGATGTGATGCTGCATGCTGACCAGTGGAGGTGAGCGGCTGTCTTCCTCTCCAGAGCTGTGGAAGTCGTATTGTCTGATGTTGGCCTTATTTATGGTGAAGGGACAGGGACGTCTCTGTGGAGGACACAATCGCTCCCGGATGTTCTTTGGTTGGATCAGGCTAGAGGGATGCTCGTCAGAGACAGCTTCTTCTGAAACACACACTCTAAACATGAGATCTGAGGGAGCAAAGACGCTGTATCGATACATGACACAACAAAGTCCCTTTTCCAAAAATGTCTTCAATGAAGACTAGGGAGAAAATAATATTTTAGCTATTTTAGCTTTAGATTCATATGACAGAGGGTATGTTGTATGACGGGGGCTAACTAATGTGTTAAATACATTTAGGAGTCTTCTAAGTAACTACAGAAGGTCACCTGTGTTCTGTGAAGGAGAACCCGGTGTGACTTGATCTTGCCTCTGTGTCCGTTGTTCAGGGTAATGGGGGTGCTGTACACGGTTTTCTCCACAAGGGGGAGTGAAACCTCTCTGAGAGTTTCCCCACTGAAATCTTCCATCTGATACCTGAACACAAAAACACCAGACTTCAAACAGTAAGACAAACTAGAAAACTCTGCAGTAATTTCAAGTGTGGCCTAGCCTGCCCGCAGGTGCCTGTATATGAAACGGCCAAGCAGGCAAGTGAAGGCTAGCCACTAAGGCTAGCTAACAAACTAAAGACACAACTCTCTGGCTGTCTTAGCCACTTGTCAGCAGTTAGGTCCTCTTATTACTAGTGCAATGCTAGCTAGCGCCATGTTTGCGTCATGCTAGCCACCCCCGTTGGCCGTAACGTCGCCCCGATTGAGAATCAATAAATTCCCCACTCCCACTCCAGGCTGGTTTACCTCATGCGCCCAGTAGTTATAATGACTCAAGCTAAAGCTAAAGCAAACACTAGTGGAAAACCAGTCAGAGATAAAGGGGGAGAAACTTGAATTGGCCTCCACATGCAAAACCAGTCCTGTTTTGAGGTCGTCTCATTTTTGTCCCTCTAGTGCACCTGTGTTAATTCCTTCAACAACAATGTAGCTGAAACTGATTAACAACCCTTCTGCTACTTACCTGAACAGATCGTTATCAGATCAAGTGCAATTAATTTCATGCTATAGCCTGATAAAAGATTGTTCCTTTCATTTTTTTGACCAATGTTTTTATTTTAAATGAAACGGGGAAAAAAAGCAGGGTTGTCATCTGGTGTGATGGTAAAAACACTTAACAGTCAAGAGCTGACATCAAGTCAGCTACTGTTCTAGCTGCAAAACACCCGTCGCTCGTCCACCCGTCTCTGGGAGCATGGACTCTAGAGCCCATTGTATTGAGAACACAAGTTGTTCTTGACGTTCTAGGTATTGAGAAACGGCCCAACTCTCCACCAACCCTCCCCACCCACCTCCTCACCTCTTCTCCACCACCTCCAGGGTGAGGTGGAGCAGCTCTCTCTTGGACTTCTCTCTTCTCTTGATCATCTCCAGGGTGGTGACGGTCCGACTGAACTCTCTCCGGAGTCTCAGCATCTTCTCGTAAGAAGCCTCATCGTTCTTACGGTTCTGAAACACATCAGATATGAAAGTGATCAATGAAAAGTCTGATCTTTTAGTTGTCCATTTTTACAATATTTATTGTCACGCCATAAAGAATTGAACATGTGTGTGTGTGTCTGCCAATATGAATAATGTTCTCTCAATTAATTAATTAAAGTAAAAGTAGGCCTGCATTTAAAAAGAAAAAAAAAGTTAAGATTTATGCATGTTCAAATAAAGTGCTTCAATGTCACATCGATTATTTTTGAATGAATCGGATAAAAAAACAGCATTAAAAAGAAGGGGTGTAACGATTCATCCACTGAATCAATTAATCGATTTATATTCCTGCGATCCAACTGAATCGATTTGTGCTCAGCAAATCGGCATTCCGGACGACATATATCGATTACAAATCGCTTGAAACGTGACTCGATTCAGTCTGCCTGTCTGTGACGTCATCAGTACGCAGCAGCAGTTGTGTGAAACTCTGAACAACAACAAAACACAGCGTGGAGGAGACGACTGCGAGCGAGACATTTACAAACCAACTTATCAATTCAGTGGAAACATTTTGGCTTTTGCAAACACGAAGGTGTTCTAAATAAGTCGCTCGCTGTTTGTAGAATATATAGAAGCCAAATAAAAAAAACACGGAAACACAACGAATCTTTCCGGCCGTCTACTAAGGCGCCGTGGGATTAAACAACGCCGACAGTCAGGATCTCGAGCAGCGTCACCGCTGCAGCAGCAGCGTCACCGCTGCAGCAGCAGCGTCACCGCTGCAGCAGCAGCGTCACCGCTGCAGCAGCAGCAGGTAACTCAGCTCTGCAGACGCCTCAGGCCTCGCCAGCACCAAACTCAACATCACAGTAACGAGTTTATCTGTAAAGACATGCGACCCGACAATGTGGTTGAACATCCGGGGTTCTGTGAATTGATCCAAACATTGTGTAATTATTGTGTAATGTTTACATTGAAAATGGTTGCACAATAAAAGGTGAATACATTTGCCATTAATTGTTGTTTGCTTGTTTGTAATATCCATAATTAATTTAGACCTGATTTCCTTACAAGAAACAACAGGGATCTCAGAAACTTTGCCTGCACTGTCCAGTAAAGTTACTGAATCGATTTCAAGTCACTGAATCGAATCGTTCTAAATTAACCCAGATCGTCCATGAATCGAATCGGCAACCATGAATCGCGATTCGAATCGTTGTTAAAATGAATCGTTACACCCCTAGATGTTACCCTTCTAGGGGAGGGGTTTTCAACTGGTTTTACCCCAGGGACCACCATTCTGAATAGAAAGTAATTTGCGGCCCACTGACGTGCCTGCACGCGCGTGCGTGTTTGTAACCACCACGCCCCCCCACAGATATTCTGCCTATAACACTTAATATGTGCAGTTATCAGGGTAGATCACTAACCGCCGTCACCACGCCCCCCTAACCACTAGTCAGTGTAATTTCTTCGATATTTTTCCCGATATTCAAGAGAGTTCACGATCTCGCGCACCTGTTCGCAGTTCACTGAATCTCGCGCTCCCTTCCCTTATGGTTGTAGCTGGTTGTCATCTACGGTCCACTACAGTTACATAACAACGTTTGACAACGTTTTATCTCATAATTTCGACTTTCTATCCCCTTTCTTCAGTGCGGAAATGGGCTTCTATAGTTGTGTGAATGCATCACTCCAGCCAATCCAAAGATGGGGTTTGTAACCAATCAGGTGTAGAGACCACGGTGACTGGCTCCGCCCCCTTACTGTCAAAAAGAACAGCGAGCGCGTAGAAAACACCTTCGAGCGGGAACAGAGATTCTCCTCGCTCCGTGAGCGAGCAAATATACCGGACTTTTGCTCGCGGATGTTTGATTTATGAGCGCGCATCAACCTGAATTGCACTCTCGAATTTTGACAGTGATTTGCCGCCATACCCCCCTACCCCCCCCCAAAAAACTCACCGAATCTACACGATTTACGTAGGTCACCTATTTTGGTTTCAAAACGCCGAATATCGCCGAAAGGTGAGGGATTTTCATGCCTGCTCACCTCAAAGCGGGACAACGTGGTGCTCCCATGCCAGGTTACGTTGACTTTGCATATTTTGCCATTGACAAACCTTTTTAGAATATTTAGTGTGAAATGCTCGCACACCTTGGACGACGAGTCGAACAGACGTCTCTGCCTGCCCATGCGACTCACACCAGCTGCCGGCGCTGCTGGCTGCTCTTTCCTCTACGTCGGCTTGGCTCTTGTTTTTTATCCTTTTTCTTTGCTCCGCGCGGATCTCCGCAACTCATTGAGTGACGTAATAATCACGCGACACAACGAATCGATAATGAAATGCGTTGCAAATACTTTTAAGCGATTTTTATCGCCTTATCGATTCGTTGTTGCAGCCCTAAACCACAAGTCTTTTTTTAGCTTTTGGTCCGGATGAGACGGCTTCCGGGTCCGGACGGCAGTCGGCCAGTTAGTGACCTCTGGTCTACATCATTAAGTCTACATAACAAACACCAACCTTCCTGGTCTATATCCTAGGGTTCCATGATGACGCACACTAACCTTCCTGGTCTGCATCTTCTCCGTCCTCCGTCTGAATGCCACATAGGCGTCACTGTTGGTGGACCCATCTCGCTTCTCCTGCTTGATGTGAGGAATAAGAGATGGACCTCGGAAGTTCTTCCTCTTCCTCAGCCAGTAATCGTACACGGACTTCAGCAGGTAGTCGTCCTCGTTCAGCAGCAATTTTGCCCCTGACAGAGACACCAGCTGAGGACAGAACCAGACAAAACAAATCATTGTTTGCTAATCACCCAATCACATTTCCACAACTCAATGCATTTTAGGCATCTAGACGTGGAAGGTTCCTTTTTCAAAATGGCAGGTTGCGGTGGTCGGTTCCTCTGGTGGTAGGATCCGACACAAGCCGATCTCAGTTGGTATTTAGTGACATGAACCCGCCTCCTCCTCCTCATGCAAAGTCCATGTAACGTTAAATGAGTATCTTCATGACCATGGGTTTGCCGTTAATATTTTTGTCTAATTTTATTGAGACTCTAGCACAACACAGCGACTTAGCGCAAGTAGCGCAGGGTCCTGAATAAAGCGATGTGTGTCTTAATGCGAGGCTTTAGAAAATGGATTCTGTATTTGCTCATAAAGCCTGAAACGGGTCACCTGGCCAATGTTTTGATCCACTCCTGTCAGCCAACAACAGGAAACTGAGACTACAACTCCCACAGGCTCACCACAATGGACAATAGAAGATTGAAAAAACGTTGCCTGGTCTGATGACTCATTTCAGCTGAGCATTCAGATGGTCGGCACGCACGCTGAGTGTTACCTCGGGTGTTGGGGACTTCTCTAGTCGGTCTACCATGGTCTCAAACTGCAGAGGTTTGATCTCCATCTTTCGGTTGAGCCTGTTGAGCAGCGTCTCATCCTCTGAGTCCATGTCGTAGTCTGCATGCTCCAGGTCCAGGCCCAGAGCTGCAGAACCAAATCATTACACAGATAAACATGAAGACATGATCCAGGTAGAGTCTGCTCAGCAAAAGGTGCATTACAGAGGAACACATGTACACGTCTACTAGTGATTAGATCATGCAGGTACAACCACAGGTACTACAGAGGTAAAACTCACGCTGTATGTGGATGAGCTGTTTGGGGACTTTTACTTCTCCTTTGTACAAACGGTCGTAGTAGGTGGTGTTACTCTCTGTTTCAGGTACAGGGATCACCATGTTCTCCTTCTTCTCCCTGAAAACCTGCTGGGCTGACATTGCCCTCTGCAGGTGATGTTCCTAAAAAAGCAGTGGGTGAACACTTGAACAATAAACTGGACTGATCACATAAATGCACTCTATAAAAAGGGAAAGGAAGAGAAGACTATCTGCTAAGGAGACTGAGTGCGCCCTTCCCTTCTGAGGAGCTTCTTTGACTGTGGGGTGGCATCACCAGCATCTCCACACTCTACAGGAAGAGACTGTACAAACTGTGCTGGAGCGTCCTCTGGATACGGTGGAAGTGGTGTGAGAAAGGAAGATGATGGCTAAGCTATCTGTGATGGACAACATCCCCCCCCTATGCAGGACACTTTGTACACCACAGGTCCTTCCTTCACACACCAGGTTAGGGTTAGTCAGTTAGATAAATGGGTCAACACATTTTTTTAATGGTGTAATCATCACAGTGTGTAATAAAAGTATTACTGCAGATGTTCCTTTTTTTTCATAATAACCCTGAATATCCATGTAAAATGTGAGTAGACAGATGTGAAGCTGTAGCGTGGTAACTTAAAGAAAGCGAGTCAGGATTATTTACGGTGAAGGTCATGGCAAGCAGAGGAGCCGAGGAACTTGAGAGGCCACCTCATTATATGAGAGGAGGTGCACCCTGAAGGCAATTCCTGCCCCCCAAGAAAGTCTGGAATTTTTAAAAAGGGAGTTCCGCTCCACACGTGCATGCATATGTCTGTGTATGCGGCCACATGGCCACAGAGCACACATTGAGAAGACCAGACAGAGGCATCTTCTCCACAAAAGAAGTCAGTCATAGAGGAGCTTTTTTTGAGTGACGCCGAGTGCGAAAAGTGGTAGTGGTGGCAGGTTCCTTTGTCAGAAAGGCAGGTTGGGTGGTCAGTGGTAGGTTCTTTTTTCAGAACGGACATCACTTTATTTAAGACGCTGCGCTACTTGCAAGTGGCTGGTTGTGCTAGATTCTCAATAAAGTTAAACAAAAAAAACATTTATGGCAAACCCATGGTCATGATACTCGTTTAACGTTACATGGAACTTACATGAGGAGGAGGAGGAGGCAGGTTCACGTCGCTGAATACCAACTGAGATCATTCTGAAAAAGGATTCCTCCACGGACCACTTTCCGCATTCGGCGCTACTGGCTTTTTGGGGAGATCCTTGCAAGCAAGGATGCTGAACACCACACCTTTTCCACCTCGATCACAGAGTAAGAGGCACTCTATAAGGCAGCCAAAGGCATTCCAGTGGAGGGTGATCCATTGGCATGGTGGAAAAGCAATGCGTGTAAATACCCTCACATTACCATGCTGTATTCAATATTGAGTACAGGAAGACTATCAATAATAGTGGTGTAAGAAGGAGAAGTACCGCTGCTCCTTCCTTCAAGGAGTTAGTTAGGTTAATAGTAGTATTGTACTGCAATATAAATACACAATAAAAGTTTACAACAGTTATGTCTGTATAGAATATTACTGCTCATTTATAATACTTGAGTTGGTCTGATTGCACTTGAACCTAGGCCGCTGTTAGTCCTGTAGATTTCCCCGCAGCAGGACTAATAAAGAATTATCTGATCATCTTATCTTAGTAGCATTGATAAGCTAGCAGCTAGGTCGGGTAGCAGGGATAAGGGACACTGCGTCGCCGGTTACCATGTAGACTACGTATAACCTACGCTAACAACGCGGACTGTACGGAAAACGTAGGTTACGTAAGTGGCATACAGTCCATCCAACGCACATAGCGTACGGACAGAACTTTACGTAAACATGCCATGAATCCCGCCATAGCACGTCGCTAGGCTAACTTCACACAGTTTAAACATTGTCGTACCAGCTCCTCTTCTTTCTCCATCCCGCTCGGCATCTGTGGGACAGCCCGGGTTGATGGAAACGCAGTCGGTGAGGTCCGGCAGGTCTCTGTTACGGTAAACCGGGAGAGGTTTGGCGGCGTCTAGCGCCCGCGCCCGAAACGAGAGTTTACTCATTGTTTGCGCGAAATCAGCGCCAATCCCACAGAACCGTGAATCCCGCAGAAACCCGCACCGGTACCGACGTGTCCGCCGCAGCAGAGCTCATCGGTATCCGCTGCTCCGGGAACCGGCGGGAGACTCATATGTGTGCGGATTTAGTGGGACGTGGGAACCGTTGGACGGGGCTGCTCAGTTCCACGCACCGTGGAAAACATGGCGGACATGTCCACACCAGCGAGCAATCCCAGCAGCCACCGCGGCACTGCTCACATAAACACACGCGAGACATCGAGGTGCGCCCGCAGCTCCTCTGGCCAACATTGCATTAAATGTAGCGAAACGTGTTAAAACGGACAAGACTTTGATAGCTATCTAGTAGACGCCTGATATGTCTCTTATAAAACCCTCAGATGCCTCTTATAGAACTCGGATGTCTCCTATAGAACTCTAGTAGAACATTGCCAGAACTTTCATAGAACTCAAATAGAACCTCAATATGTCTGTTATACAACTAAAGCCCTGATAGAACCCTTGGTCTTTAATAATAATCTGGAGGAACTTTGTATTGAGGTGGGAATTACAGTAGACAATATGTCCTGTTTTGTCAAGATTAGGGGAGAAATGAACAGATGCAGATAAACGCTAACTCAGTTCAAAGAATAATAATAAAGATGTCTTCTGAAGCTGCAAATTCACAATCATAGAAATCAATCTCATTTATTCACATATTTATCAGACTTTTCACCAGAAGTTGTATCTTTGAATTTTATAAATCGATTGTTGTTGAAAAATGAACCAAATAAACTGAAAGCTGAATGATGTTCACACATGCATGCATGCTTTACATTCATATCTTCATCATCGTCATATAAATCTATCGGCCATATCAATATTATAAAATCATCCTAGAATAAATGCTCGTATGTACAAACTTAAATGAAGTGAGAAAGTGGTCTGGTTTCCTGACGGTCCCTGAATGTCTCTGTGGTAAAACATAATGTCGCTTCCTCATTTAATCTTTTCTTTCTTCACTGTCTTTCTGAATCCCAGAGGTTTTCTCTAAACGTTTATGTAATAAATCATAAATGAATAAAAATTGAAATATCTCTGGATTAATTTTTCAATAATTTAATTCACTTTAATGACTATAACATTCCACCGGTCACTCTGCTTCATACTGCACACGTCACTTTAACTGTAATTTTTCATTCGTCACTTTGTCGTCACTCTGTCACTTGTTCGATAGTGCACTTTATTTTTAATATTTTTTTTAACTTTTTTAATATTTTATTCTCTTATTTTATACTAACCCAATAGCCTTATTCTACTAACCCATTGCATTAGCATTTCATTTTATTACTTTAGTGCACTGCTGTCTTGTTGTCTATTGTCTGTTTTGTGTCTACTGTCACGCACCAACCGCCAAGACAAATTCCTTGTATGTTTTACATATTTTGGCAATAAATGTTTCCTGATTCCTGATAATAAGTCACGTTTGAGCCACAAACAGGAAGAAACACAGGAAACCAACAGGAGCTATTACAAAATATAAGCAGACTTTTAATATTAACTGCGAATCAAACAAATCCAAACACATTTAATGCTCTGTTGTGATCCGTGTTATTGATTAGCAGCTCTTTGTGAAAATTGAATCAGGAAACACTTATTGCCAAAATATGTCAAACATACAAGGAATTTGTCTTGGCGGTTGGTGCGTGACAGTAGACAGTGTAACAATAGACAACAAGACATTACCCTCTCCTAAAATCTCTGTGCTCTCCCTCCCCACAGGCTTCTGTGGATGGTGGTTCTATCTGATGGTGGTTGCCCCTGCAGTGGTCCTGCTGTGCGCCTGGCTAACTACTCACAATTACTTGAATCATTTCTGTCATAGGAATTGCATGTATTATACATTGTTCATTCTGTACACATGGCATCCATTGTAGTCTGTCCATCCCGGGAGTGGGATCCTCCTCTGACGTTCTCCCTAAGGTTTCTTTCCTTTTTTCCCTCTTGGAAGGGTTTTTTTGGGGGAGTTTTTCCTGTGCCGATGGTGGGTTTCGGGACAGAGGATGTCGCATGTGTACAGACTGTAAAGCCCTCTGAGGCAAATTTGTAATTTGCGATTTTGGGGCTATACAAAATAAAATGAATTGAATTGACAGCAGTGCACAAGAAATAAAATAAAATGAAAATGCTAATGCAGTGGGTTAGTAGAATAAGGCTATGGGTTAGTATAAAATAAGAGTAAAGTTAAAAATTAAAAATATTTAAAAAGTTAAAAAATATTAAAAAATAAAGTGCACTATCGAACAAGTGACAAAGTGCCGACAAAGTGAGAAATGACAGTTAAAGTGACATGTGCAGTGTGAGGGGGAGTGACTGGTGGAGTGTTATAGTCAGTCAGTGGGGGACCGGCTCTGTTGATGAGCCCGACTGCCGACGGGAAGAAACTGTTGGTGTGGCAGGAGGCTGAGTTCCTGATGGACCTCAGCCTCCTGCCAGATGGAAGGGGCACAAACAGGTTTTGTCCGGGGTGAGAGGGGTCGGCTACCATCTTTTTAGCTGCTTCAGAGACCTGGAAGGGAACCAGTCCTGCAGGGACGGCAGATTGCAGCCGATCAGCCTCTCTGCAGAGCGGAGGACACGCTGCAGCCTGCCCTTGTCCTTGGCTGTGGCTGCAGCGTAGGAGCCCTCATTAAAAGAACAATCATCAATACCAATAAAAACCTTTTTTTCAACACCATCAACTTGTGTTCACAATAAAAAGCATTAAATACAATTGTTTGTTTTGAACTTGTGACTTGTATAATCTTTGTTAATGAAGAATTTAAATCTCTCAATTATCTCCAGTTTCCTCTCAACAAGCCACCTTTTAAAATAATAGAAAGGAATAATAACCTGATTATGAAACCGTGCTCTGGAATGTACACACACACAGCAGTGATAGAGACATTCAGAAGCTGTTTCCTATTGGCAGAAACAAAGAGCAGAATGAGTCACTCTTCAATGTCTTTACACAAAGTATTTTTTACATACATTCAGGAACCAATATCATTGATATTTTGGCAATAAATGTTTCCTGATTCCTGATCATTGTGGCTCACCATGCCGAGAAGGAGGCCCTCTGCATCCTCATCAGTCTGAGGGTCACGTGACCAGAGTCTGCCATCAGAGAAAGAAACCGTTTGCTCAGGAAGTCCCAGCTCCGTCCAGATTGGTCTGCGTCATGAACTGGACTGCTTTGGGGGGTAGTCCACATTGGTTACAATGGTGGCGACCTCTTCGGGGTCTGTGCGGCTCATCTGACGCTGCATCTGAACAACTGCCCCACACAGCCGGCCGATAGGTGAGCTTCAGCCTGGTGATCCCAGCACTCCTCAATGGTCTCACACAGGAGGGTTATCCCGAGGAGAGACACACAACGCGCGCAGAGCGGGTCTGAGACACACAACACCAGAACAGACAACAATAAATCACTATTTTCCTGTCAGTGTTGCAGTGGATCTGCATTGAGTGGTGCATGATGGGTAATGTAGTGTTACTCACAGTATGTTTCTGCCGGCACTCTCTGAGGGTCGGTCTCAGCTTGCTGTGGACCACCACCTCCTGCATGTCCTCTAGAGACGGATGCTGACCCACCTCGTCCTCAAAGGGCAGCATGTACTCATCCAGCAGACCTGGATCACAGACATGGAGCAGACAGGGTCAGAGAGAAGGGGGAAGACAGGAGAACAGTAAAACAGGATCAGAGGGATGGCGTGTCTTCAAAGACTACAATGTGAGGTGGATCGGGATCCAGACTCATGCGGGGGGGGGGGTTCTTACCATCAGCAGCTTTACAACGAGAGACAAGCTCCCACAGCAACAGACCCCACATAGATACAAACAGGTGTACCCTCTCAGGTGTACTCTCACCTGTCTGTGTGTGTCTCCAGGTGATTTTCCGGTCTGTTAGTAGTCTTGCTGCGGTCGGAAACAAACTCGAGAGAAACTACAGTCCTCGACCTACCAGCGACTACCGTTCATTGCAAAGCTACATGTAACGTTAGCTGGCTCGGCTAGCCGTTAGTTTAGCTAAATTATTGATCAGGGTATGTGTTTGTTTCATCGATGTCCTCCACTCCCCAACGATCAGAACAAAAATGGCCGTTCAACTCTTTTCTCCACCTTCTTCCATTGTAGTCTGTCATAGCGTTAAGGATAATATGACTGACAGCGGAAGTGGCCAATAGGGCGCGTAAAAGAAGCTCTCCTATTGGACGTCATAACGCAGGACGTCTGGTATGCCAGATAAGCCCCTCCTCCTGACAGGAGAGCTGATGGTTTTCAGATCCCAACTGGACATAGGATAATATAGATTATGGCGTAGTCTAAATTTTTGTAGTGAGTATGACGTGACTGCCTTCAGACAGGGTTCATTTATGAAGGACAGTTAGAACGTTCTGTCACAACGAAGTTGTTACGCATCATTGCGCTTTTGTTAGTGGGTATACGGAAATCTTTGACTTTTCCTGGTGGGCATACGGCGTATACGTATCACGCAGACTACACCACTGATTCTAACACGTGACATTTAAAGAACAGTTCACCATTTTATCAACATAAATATACACACTATATAATAGTATAGTACAATACAATAACAGTGTAGTAAAGTACAACCCAGTGTAGGACAATATAGCAACAGATTAGTATAGAACAGATTAACACACACACACATATATATATATATATATATATATATATTATACATACATATAGTGACTGACTCAGGGAAGCAGTAACTCCGTGAAACAATATGTGAAGCTGTGAACCAGTGAAAAAGTGACTGAGCGACTCAGTAAAGCAGTGATTCAGAGACTCAGTTAAACTATAAACCAGTGAAACCATGACTCAGAAAAGCAGTGACTCAATCATACAGTGACTCTGTGATTCTGGATATTTATTTGTATTTAAGATGTTGAGAATAACTTTAATGTTGGTTCTGTTTGTTGTAATTATTTTAAGCTATGTTTTTATATACCTAACTTCTTCACAACCATAATATTGCTATAAAAATATCAGGATTACGGTTAGTTTTGTCTCAATACTCCTGGTTTATGAATTACTGTTATTAATTTACAGAAGCTTTTTGAGCCATATGAACAGAGATACTGATGAAGTCGGGATGATGTTACGCTGAGTTAAATATCCTCTAGAGGGCGCTGTGACATCACACCTCCTCCATCTTCTGAACTTCATGCTGGAGATAGAAATACACGTTTAATCAAAGTGCTTCTGGAAGAGGTTTGGTATGACATTTAATACAGCTTAAGTATAAATAAAGTGCAATTATCGCAGTTGTTACAGCAGTTTAGTCAAATAATATTATAATATAGCAAATAAATCCATTTTAAATATGTAGCGAATGGGACCACCGTCCGCTTGGTAGGGGTAAGTAACTCTTCCCTGAATGGCTGGAGATGAAAATAAGGATCTCAGTCCCTAAACCCCAGGCCTACTAGTCTCAGGCCTAACCTGCCGATGTGTAACGAATATAGTAGTTTAGGCGTTAGGATTTGTACATGTCACGGTGATGACCGAAGGGACAGAATACAGGCATAAGTGTTTATATGTGCAACTTACCCGGTATTTCCCTCTACTGCCATATACTGACAGAGGATGAGACGCCCCTACTCCAGGGAAGATGAAGGACTGCACAGTACATCATTTGAGTTGGTTACCCTAAATCACTCTTCACAGTTTCAGTCGTATAATGAATCATGTAGATTCATCACAGGATAACTTGACAGAAAATTAACAGCAGTGACCAAAGACAGTACACAATAAATGTCACAGACCAGTGTCCCCACACTCAGTAGTTGTTTTAAACAGAAAAATGGTTCATTCTAAACACTAAGAGGAATACCGCGTTTTAAGTGGAAATGTCCAACAGCCTTACGGCTCAATCCAGAGCAAAAATGCTCAAATCCCGTTTTGTGAGTCCACAAAGTATCAAATAAAATAGGCTAGCCAAAAAAAGTGTCTTGGTTCTGGCTGGTAGCACGACAAAAAAGCAATTCAGTGCGGGCAAAGTTATACTTCTCTGTAGCTTGCTGCTAAATAGCACAAAGTTGGGTTACTTCCCTTTAGTCCGCACGCGTCATCGGGAGCCGTGACGCGTCTCTGGGCGGCAGGAACCGCCAATCTCCGCGGCGGCAAAGATAGAAGGGACCGCGAACACGACTTCTTCCTCTGGCGGTGTAGCGCGACTCGCTAGCGTCTCGAACGGCTACACACTCCAAAGGCAAAACGACAACCACCCTGTGTCGTTAACGCGAAGCGATATCGGGTTTTAAACGTCATTGTTTTCGCTCCGTTTCTGCTGGTCAAGCAGCAGCCGTCCCGTTCTGTCCCGTTCCTCCCGCTCCCTTCACTTCCTGTCACTTTCTTCCCTTCCTGTCTTCCCACCTGCTGATTGGCTGCGGTCAAGACTTCAGCGGAAAGTAGTATTAAAGGCAAAGAGATAATCAATAGACTTATATCTCGTACTACAAATAGATTTATATTGTACGGCTCATTTTGGGGTGATTGTTTGGGGTGACTTGATCCTCCTTGCAGCAGTGTGGTCATGTGACAGTAGCCATATGAATCAGGATACGTTTGTTTTTTTGTGTTAATTAAATATTTACATACATAAAATATAATAAATCAATCATGAATAAATACCAAAATAAAGCCTCAACATGATGTCAAAGAGAGAAAACAGCCTCCGATCGTGTCTCATAATGCACTGCGTCTAACGTTGGCAGCAAGAGTGGACATTCGGCGTTTTCATTCATCTGATTTTAGATCAGTGTGAAGCTCACAGCTGGAGCAGAACACACACTCTCTGTTCACGAGTCACTCAAACAGACACACACACACACACACACACACACACACACACACACACACACACACACAGCAGTCCATGTCTTTATGATTGGACTAAAGATCACAAGCATTTATATATATATATATATATATATGTATATACCTACACACACACATATATATGTGTGTGTACGTATGTGTTTCTATAGCAGAAAAATAGAGACTTTTATTTTTAAACAACAAACAGAACGTCACTTCCTGTTCTACAAAATCAGGTTCATATTTTAGATATAAAGTGACTGTATATGTCATTTAAATCCTGTGTTTTTATTTTAACTAGATCTCTGAGTTATACGAACACCAACAACTAGTTTATTACCCCATATTGTGGGCTAATAAATAAAAGGTGCTGTTGCTAAGTGACGCTCGTGCAGCTCTAGCAGCGTCGCCACCCCGCCAGGCCTCCCTTCTCCACAGCCAACACGAAAACCAAACACAGCCGAGGGCTCTCCAAACACTGAGATTGTCCTCAGTGAGCTTCCTGTCACACCGAGGGGGACCTTTAGTCAGCTTTCAGCTGGGGACACTGTCCTCCTCGTGTGGACCTGCTCTGACAGAGATTCAGGAGGAAGGAAACTGACCTGGGGTCTGTTGTTGAGCGCTGGCAGTGGGAGAGTACCATGTGGGGTTTTTATCCATAGAGGAGAACCGTGAACAAGTGGACACTGAGGGGCCACACTGACAGGACACAAACAGCCTCTTCAACCTCCATCTGCCCCCCCTTGTCTCTACAAAGAAGTCCACACTGTGACTTTATGATTTATACTCTTTTCTGTTGGTTTTTGTTTTGTTGGAGTATAAAGTGAGGACTGTTTACCAGCAGCCTGGAGAGAGCTAGAGTTTGTTTAACTACTGATGGTGTCACTTAACAGAGTCTCCTGGAGGAACGATCCATCTCCTCATCTGCCAAATGTGAGCAGCATTAAGAACATTAACCCTTGGTGGTCATGTAACATCTCCACAGGTGTAAACAGGAGAGCTGGATGTTCCCTAGAGTCTAGACCGAATCAACGGTTACAGAGGATGAGGATTCACTCCTTGGTTCTCCAAAGAGATAGTTCTCCGTTTAGATGGTTGTTCATTGAAAATGGTTCTTTAATGAGATGCTACTCCCATGAGATGGTTCTCCAGGGAGATGGTTCTTCAATGGCGCGGCTCTTCAACAAGATAGTTCTCCAATGAGATGGTTCTTCAAAAAGATGGTTCTTAAATGTGATATTTCTTCAACAGCCTGTTAAAAAACAGCAGAAAAGCTGCTATACTATATTCCATAATATAATACACTATACTATAAGGTACTACATAGGTATCAAAAGTCTTTTTTGTGTTCGGCATTATTAAACTGTTTAAATCTTAGATAATGTTTTACTTGGTCTGTTTTGTTACATGAGGTTACTAATCTCGGCGGAGCTAGCTCTCCATTCATACTTATGTTTACGATGTGTTTACATGTCTGTGTAAAAAGTCAATCAGAAAGCTCCAGCTGATCCAGAACGCTGCAGCTTGAGTCCACACTAGGACCAGGAAAGTGGATCACATCACTCCAATTCTCAGGTCTTAACACTGGCTTCCTGTCAAACGAATACTTGACTTCTAAATCCTGCTGTTGGTTCATAAAGCCCTGACGGGTTTAAGGCCAAAGTACATTTCTGATCTGCTGATATTTTATGAACCGCCACGAACCCTTCGTCCGGGCCTGGTCCACTTCCTGTTCCAGGAGTCACAACTACACATGGAGATGCAGTGTTCCGTTTTTCTGCTCCACATATTTGAGCAAAGTCCCAGAAAGCTGCAGGTTCTCTGAGTCTCTCATCTCCTTTAAATCCAGATTAAAGACTTGCTGCTGCCTTTAATTCACCATTTCTGCATTTAGGAATGTTGGTACTCTTAAACTACACTGCCAATTTAGTTTAGTGTGTGTGTGTGGGGGAGGGGGGGGTTCAATCACTGTTCCTTTATTGTTTTTAACTCACTGTTAAAGCGCCTTGTGTTCATGTTTGGATGTTTTAATGGTTTTATGTGAAGCACTTTGTATTGGCTTGTTGTTGGAATGTGCTATACAGATAAAATTGCCTCATCTTATCATTTCCTACTTCCTTAAGTCGTTCATATTTTAATATTTTACCAGTGACGATGTTTATAAATGCTTTTATTTGTTTTATAGTCACTAGTCACCAGTTGCTGCTCTGTTCAACGTGTCCTTGTCCTTTAATATATTAGTTCATGAGTGAGTTCATGTGACGTCAGTTTGTGAAGACCATGGGTGCTAAATTAATGCTTTACAGTTTACATTCAATGGTACACTGTTGTTCATTTAAAATGTAAGTATCTGAGGGGTCCATCCATCCATCTTCAACCGCTTATCCGGGGTCGGGTCGCGTGGGCAACAGCTCCAGCAGGGGACCCCAAAATTCCCTTTCCCGGGCCACATCTACCAGCTCTGACTGGGGGTCCCAAGGCGTTCCCAGGCCAGTGCAGAGATATAATCTCTCCTCCTAGTCCTGGTCTTCCCTGGGGCCTCTTCCCAGCTGGCCGTGCCTGGAACACCTCCCAAGGGAGGCGCCAGATGCCCAAACCACCTCAACTGGCTCCTTTCAATGCAAAGGAGCAGCGGCCAAGCTACTCACGAATGGCTTAGAGAACAAGTCCCCGAGGTACTTGAACTCCTTCACTTGGGGTAAGGACACATTCCCTACCTGGAGTAGGCAATCCATCGGTTTCCTGCTGAGAACCATGTCCTCAGATATAGAGGTGCTAATCCTCATCCCGACCGCTTCACACTCGACTGCAAAACGCTCCAGTGAGAGTTGGAGGTCACAGACAGAAGATGCCATCAGGACCACATCATCTGCAAAAAGCAGCAATGAGATCCGCAATCCCCCTGAACTGTAGACCCTCCTCCCCCCAACTACGCCTCGTTATCCTGTCCATGAAGACCACAAACAAGATTGGTGGACAAGGCGCAGCCCTGGCGAAGGCCCACCTCCACCAGAAACGCCTTCGACTTCCACGCAATGTTGCCAAGACAGCCCCCCAACACCCATTGCTTTTAGCATCTCTGGACGGACCTCATCAATCCCCGGGCCTTGCCACTGCAGAGTTGTTTGACTACCTCAGTGACCTTGTCAGTTTGCCTGGTGAAGGGTCTTATACACCCAAGTTTACTTTAGCCAGTTCCTAATGATTTGAGAACAATAATGAACTTTTTGAGTATTTCTGTGGAGAGCTACCAAAGAGTTGAAGGCCAGGTTGCAAGGCAGATAAACTGTACTTGGCTCTGCAGGGCATGGAGGCCTCAGGAAAAGATGGGATCCCGGTGCAGCTTTACAAAGAGTACTGGAACGAACTGGGGGAGGATCTTTTAACCGTGTGCAACGAGAGTGTTAAAGACATGATGCTACCACTAAGTTGCAGAAGAGCAGTGATAACTACCAAAAAAAGGAGACCTGCAGGAAATGACACGTGTTCGGTGTGCTTTCCCTTCTGTGCTCCAATTACAAAATCCTGTCCAGGGCGCTGGCCAACCGGCTGAGAGAGGTGATGGGCTAGGTCATCACAAAGACCAAACCTACTGCGTGCCTGGTAGAAGCATACTGGACAATTTGTCCTTAATTCGTGATATTTTAGATATCTGTTCTTTGTGTTAGGGAGCTGTGGCCACAAGGACCTAGACTCAAAAGCAGACTCAAGGCGGGGTAGTCAGAAAAAAAACAATGTCTTCAGGCAGGGGTCCGGTGCAGGGGTAGTCAGACAGAGTAGGCAGATTAATCCAAATCGGCGTGAAAAGATTCATGGGTAGATAGAAATGGGTTGAAACACGGGACGGCACACTTGGCTAACTCGCTGGTAAGCTCATGAAACAATAGAGACAACTAGCACAGGGCAAGCAGTCGACACAGACTAAATACACAGTAGAACGAGACACACATGGAAACAATAACGGCAGGGCTTGCAATCACCGAGGGTGGCGGCACACAGGAAGGGAGGTGTCTGAAACAAGAGGCAGGGTGAATGAAAGGAAAACACAACAGAAAACAAACAGTGGCCGCAGTCTGGGTTTTATAGTACCCCCCAAGGCCGGCACCTGGCAGCCAGGCTCCTCAGGTAACCTCCATTGGAAGTCCTTGATGAGGTTGGCTTACTACTCACAATTACTTGAATCATTTCTGTCATAGGAATTGCATGTATTTTACATTGTTCATTCTGTACACATGGCATCCATTGTAGTCTGTCCATCCCGGGAGTGGGATTCCTCCTCTGACGTTCTCCCTAAGGTTTCTTCCCTTTTTTCCCTCTTGGAAGGGTTTATTCATTTTTTGGGGAGTTTTTCCTGTGCCGATGGTGGGTTTTGGGACAGAGGATGTTGTATGTGTACAGACTGTAAAGCCCTCTGAGGCAAATTTGTAATTTGCGATTATGGGCTATACAAAATAAAATGAATTGAATTGAAGGTTATGACCCAGGATGATGGCTGACTGTTTGGCTCCCAAGACTTCTCCTCCGGGCTGTATCCCTCCC